CGGAGCTATATATCCACTCCCCCCTTACATCTCCATGGCATGGGTACTCATTAAGCTCAGGGATAACTACCATTACCTTCTTCAGCATATCAAACGAAAAAAAAATAATAAAGAAACATTTCTAGAACTTGAAGAAAAACCAGCAATAATTTTTACTTTACAAAGAGACACCCATGTTTGCTACTTTTGAGTCTTCTAAAATGCGATGCAAATAAACAGGTGGCACAACTGATAAGAAAATCTTTATAAAAATATCCCATTCATAGCATATGGTAATGTAGTGTACATATTTCTCTTCCCACTCTACCTGCAAGTGTCCAGTGAGTTGTTGCGACGTCTGACTTCATGCAAATCACTTTATATGGATTTGAAGTTCTCATGGAAGTAAATATTACGATTAACCTTCTGGGATGTGACATCATGTAGTTCATTACATAGGTACCAACATTTGTGAGAAATCAGTTGCCTTCATATTTAGAGCAGAAGAGTGACTTTCTGTTCTGAAGATGGAGGCAGCAGATTTCTCCAAAACATGTATACCTATTTACCTGCCTACAGAGCAGCACATCCCACAAGACCATTATTGCATATTATGTGTAAATCTATCTTTATCATATAATAGCATGTAGAGCTGTTACTGGGTTGCTACCTCAAAACACACAACTGAACATTTGCTGCTAGGCAACAGATTTTTAATAAGCAAGTATATGCGGCCGTTGCTGGGTGACGCCTTCATGGAGAGGCATATTCCCATGGAAATGATTGGGCAACAGAAGAGCTGTGTTTTCTATGTGGTCCATGCTGAGGGGTTATAAGAGAGACCAGGTTTAGAGCTTAGTCTGTTGTTATTCTGTGAAGACAAGACTAGGGGGTTAGTGTGGGATAGCTGCTAGACTGGGGGCTAGTCAGAGAACTGCAGCTGTTAGAGGCTGGTAGCTGAGGCACGGAGATTGTTTGGGAATCCAGAGTAAGGGGAATGTCCACGTTGGAAACTGTTATCAGCAACGGCTAGTGGAGACTGTGACAGACTGAAGACACTAGTCTGTGTGTGACAATGATCTGTAAAGTGTAGTCATGAGTTGTGTGTGTAAGTGGTCAACAAATCGAGTCACCAATCCAAACCCCATCTATAGTCAGACACATGATAATATATTCTAGTCTCAGAAACTGGATAACCACGACAGGAATATGATGATAATGATAGTCCACTGCCTGAATCTAGAAACTTATGCATGGTTTTGCTGTTTTACATTAAATGAAGTGACTGGAATGCAGATTTAGCACTTTTATTTACAAGATTTGTGTGTCTCACAAAACTACACAGAATTACTGATGTCTGGTGGTGGGCAGACAGACTAGGGTCAGGTAGTTATGGTACAGCCTATGGTGCCTCCAGCATTAAGAACAGAATGCGTTGTCTTAAGGGCTTTAACTTCCAACAGCATTATGCATATAAAGGAATATAGTGTAAGGTATTGAAAATAGGTAATGCTGGCTTTTAAAAAAATACTTGTGAAATGCTGAAAAACCAGGAAATAAAAGAAAAAACTATTATACCTTGCACATTTGTTATCAAAATTGGAACAGAAGGTAAAGTATTCCTTGTGCTTAATTAAGTAAACATCATGCCTTCAAGAGGTATTGGAAGTGGAGGTATGGTGCTACCATTCTTGACCTTGACACTAAATGGAGGTGGGTGGTCAGTTTTACAGTCTGGGGAAACAGCTCCCAGTAACCTATGGCCAGGAGGCTGGCTGGGCCCCATGGCTGGTCAGCACACTATGAAGAAGAGAAAATCTTACCCCTGCTGGGAAAAGAACAAAAACTGTCATACATCACCCAGATGAGTGACCAAGAATCAAAGAATCAAGCTACACAGGCGATCAAGAAAGATTGTACGAAATCCCATAAATATATTCAGCTTAAGGAGGTGAATGACTGACAGAAGTAGCCAGTTTCCTTTGTTTGATTATTTAGGTAGGATGTACAGGAATCATTTATAAACACCTGAATGTACACAGAACGCTAATATATCAACAGGTGGGATCTTTCATGACACAGCTGTACATGACATTGACCTCATATGCTGGATACTGGGGGAATACCCAACATGTGTTGCTACCCAAGCTTCCACTCTCACACCAGAGATCGCAGAAATTGGTGACTATGACACGGTCGTCATAACGCTGCAGTTCCCCAGTGGTACCCTGGGCATTATTGATATTAGTCGCCTGTCATCTCATGGGTATGATCAACGTATTGAGGTGAGATTCCTTGTCTTCTTCCCCACACTACATTAAGAGTAATGTTTGACCACTATCCAGCTTACTCTTGCAACCCTTCCTCCTTATGCAGCCTAGTCTCAGGATATGACTTGATATTTTCATGACAGGGAAGATTTATATTGCTATCTTCTGCCTTTTGATATGTCAAATCCCAGATCACAGTATGATCAGTCTCAAGAGGTAACACTTTTCTTGACTGATAACTGAGGTATATAAACCAGAAAGTAGGACTCAAATATTTCCTTTACTTTTTATTTTGTGTAAAGTTTGAATGAACATTATATGTGTGGCAATGGAAAACACTAATCAAGAATTCAAGAGGTATCTTCTTTGAATCTTATCCGGTGTCTGCTATCCTGAAAGGTTTTTGTGGTTTGACATAAATTACATCCAAATACAAGGATGAATCATAGTGAGGGTATGAAATTATGAAGTGTAGCAGTAAAGTACTTCATAATGATGCATATTCACAAAGATCTGTTGCTATTTGACTCAAAACTTATTAGGAGGGAAGATGAGAGTACAAACACAAACATAAATGCATGCGCACACACATGTACATGTGCATATAAATGCAATGATAATGTAAACTTGCTTTCCATTTACTTCTTCCCTTCTAAATAAGGAAAATTGAAAACTTATAACCTTAAGTCACCCCACTACACATTGCCTATATGCAAACATTCTGCAGGTTTTTGGACCACGTGGGATGCTGACTTCCTCCAATGAAAGACCAATGCATGGTATAGAGTCTCACATAGGATTCCAAGGGGGCAACACAATGCCTATCTATTATTCCTTCCCTTCACGGTACAAGATGGCATATTTGAATGAGATGGAGCACTTCCTTGACATTCTGCAAGGTATCTGAAACACCCTCTTTGTAATGATATGTTCCAGTACAGTAGTTCTGAGTTTGTAACCTGTGAAGCTTATAATATCACATCTTCAATTTATCACTAATAACTTCTGAATATTGATAATTGTAAAATTTTCACAAAATTCAGTATCAATACCTTACCTTTGGTGGCCATAAGTTCACATGTTTACAGAGTAGATAATGAAAAGTTCAGTCCAGTGTGACATATGAGTTTACAACACTTCAGTCTTCATTCAACTTACATGTTTCGATTTTATGTTCTTATTATCAGTAGTGTAGTTCACGTGAACTACACTACTAATAATAAGAACATAAAATCAAGAGAAATAAATGACACCTCCCACCATCAGGGGGAAAACAACATGACCCAATGTCGGCTCAAGATATTTTAATATAATAACTAATTTTTTACATGGAAATTTTAATACAATTTTAAATATATTGGGAGTCTACTGTATGGAAAAGTGAACACAATATTGCGTGCAGTGGAAAATCCCAGTCAGAATAACCAGTAAATCTACACTTCAAGAAGCGCCATTGTGAGTGCCTAAGACAGACATCATTAGTCACATCTAAAGTGCATATTGTTAAAATATCTTATGTGACAGTGTTTCCTTATCGTAGTGGTGCGCCTCTGAAGTGTTGTAAACTCGTATGTCACACTGGACTGAACTTTTCATTATCTACTCTGTAATTAATAGTGTGACGGACCAAAATGAGACAAGTTAAATTCATGTGTTTAATTTTATACCACACTAACATTGTCTTTAGTCATACCGTTAGTGCCCTTTAATGCATGACCCTGGCATTTCTTTAACAGTGATAGGTCTTTGAAAAATGTTCATACAGTAATGTAGTAAGATAATTCTTATATAGACTTGACATAAGGACAGACTTGTAAAGATTATATTTGCTTCTCCAGTTGACTAAAATACCTAGTGGTAACGTGCTCGCCACTGGACCAAGAATCTGAGGTTCAAACCCAGCCAAGGTCAATGAATTTCTAAGGGTGATAAAAATCTGTAGCACAAATTCCATTGGATGGGAAGTAAACACAGGGGTTGCAGGTCATACATTTATGGCATTTAAAAGGACCTTCCATTGAAGGTAGGAGATCAGTGAAAGAAAATTATACACCATTTTTGTTGGCCCACAAAGCTTCTGCTCTGCTCCTACATGTTGATGCGGTCACATGACTGTGGATACCTCTGGCAGAGAGGAGTGGGAATAAGAAAAAATCACTCAACTCAACTGAAGTATGCTGGAAAACTGGATAATGTAAATTGCTCAAGCGGTGTCCAAACTGAAAATGAGTTACAAATATGCCAATCAAGTTGAGGTTAGAAAGCACAAATGACTTAACTGTAAAAGTGTCGCATTAGAAACCAACCAGTTTTGAGTTTCCTTAAATCTTTCAAAGCAAGATATCTGTACTACCTTCAGCCACGTACACATGTAATGTTTAATTTTCCTAATAAAACATCTGTTGTAAGATGTGAGTGTTGTACATGTAGGTAAAGATCAAGACCCACATACACAATGAAAGATAACATCTGCTGGCAAATACAAACTTCTCTGTCCCTGTTACAACACACTGTCTCAGGTACATGTTAACTCTGTGCTTATACTTATTATAATTTCAGATAAAGCAAAGCCAACTATCATGGGACACGAGACACTTGCAGTAAGCAAGATTGCATCAGCCTGCGAGGAATCGGCACGAACAAGGCAATTTGTACAGTTACAATGGGAACCTGAGTACATCCCCCCTAACTAGCATAGCAAGGCATTTCACGCTTTCAAAATTATTTCAGAGACAGCACTCTTAAACATAAGTGATTCACGGCTTAATGTTTTAACATCAGGAGTTTATATTTGAGGACATTCCCAGTCAGATCCACATTAACATGCATCCAATTCTCAATGGTTATGGATGGTCTGAAATTCAATTAAATTTTTTGACGTACGTTCTTGTAATTTTATATTGGCAACATTGCAGGTTGGCATGTACAAATTTGAAAAATACTCAAATTAAAAAATGAAGCCTTTGAAAAGTTAAGAACATCATTTTACATTTAAAAATCATGAAATTTTTAATGTTATGTTTTCAGATTAAAAAAAAAAATCTCTAATTTTCGTACACCAACATGCATTTCTGTCAACATGAAATTATTGTTGCTTTCATCAAAACCATTCTTGAGTCTCCATCCATTGCTTCACAGCTGTTTGGAATTAAATCTATGTTTACATGGAATTTCTGGCCAGGATGACTCCTGGTACAAGCTCCTCTGGTTAAGACATGAAGTTATGAATCATGTATATCTTCCCTTTCAGTCACTCAAGGGCCAACAAAAGTGTTTCAAGGAAGAATACTGATTTCTTTCTTGCACTTTGTACCTCATGAGCCAAGAACTTTCACAGCAATACATTTATAGTCCAGAAGCAACACTCTGGCCATAAAACTGGCTACCCTATCTGATTTTTTCTATGGGTTTTCTGTTTCCCAAGAATATGCTTGTATTGTCTGTCTGAACAGACAATGGTTATTTCCTTCCAAATCTAATGCTACAAATCACAAATGTTCATTTTCTCATCTCTGGTGACATGATATAACCTCTGTATTTGTAACAGCACTGCTGAATGTGAATCAATAAATAACAGCAGTATATGTGCATTCTTGAGCCTTGTTTTAGTAGCAGTGGTAGTAGCTGTCAGTTTTATGTAGCTGCCTGCTATCTTGTCATCCCAAAATGCTACTTCTTTCAGCCTTATGTTTCATCTGTTTTCAGCCCTTACAAATTTGCCTGTTTTCAGCATTTCCACGGACATTTTCTCATATATTTCCTCCTGGGGTCCAATTTTCTTCCATTAACATTAAATATCTATACTATTTCAATCATTTCTTTTATAGGCTTTTTAATACTGTCTCACCACCCGTTCTTTATTTTCTTAGGCTTAATTCCAACATTACCATTGTTATAAAAGATAAAACAACTGCGTCCAGTGTGACCATTGAAGTTTTTACTACTTCAATTCCTAACACCCTTACATGTTTCGGTCCCTATAGACCATCATCAGAGGGACATCAATACTCTTTGGAAACCACTATTACAATATTCTGAATGTTAAAATTGTAATAGTGGTTTACAAAGGGTATCGATGTCCCTCTGATGATGGTCTATAGGGACTAAAACATGTAAGGGTGTTAGGAATTGAAGTAGTAAAACTTCAACAGTCACACTGGATGGAGTTGTTTTATCTTTTATAATATTGTTAGTGTGACGGACCAGAATGAAACAAATCAAATTTACCATGGTTCATTACTATTTCTAGTAAATAATTTTAAATGCAATGGTTTGAAGTCTCCTGATATCCTATTCAACTCTTTCACACATGAAACAAGGAAAACAAGGTGCCAACAAAACAGTATTCACGAGTGGGATGTGACCCTCCTTGGTTTACATCACTTCCTCTATATAAATGTTGGTGCAATATTTTAAAATATATAACTACTGTACTCTCATATCAGTTGAGAGCCACAGGAAGTCCTCAGAAGGACTGAGGCTGTGAAAATGTGCTGACCAGTTAAGCCCCCACATACCAAACAGACTATGATAAAGGCAGTAAGGAGTACTGATGTGACAATGAGTGACAGGGGAAAATGTCACTCTCCACAGTAAAAATAATGAAATTACTAAACACATCTAAACATATTTATTTACAATATAAAATTAAATTCCTTTAGACTGTATTACAATTGAAGAGACACAATAATAATAATAATATACATTAATTATTCTCAATTATACATGACAGCATTTGAAATAATTTATTTCTCCCACACTGTCAAGTATATAACATAAAGAAAAGTACTTGTAATTCACTAACCTAATGAGACTTCATAAAAAAACTAGTCATGTTCATCACACCATTTATATACTAAAAGGGGATGAAACAAGGCACAGTTATAAAACAAATTTTACCAGGTATGGTAAAACATATAGAACTAATGCATAAGAATGCATAATGATCAGCCTAAATAAAGCTGTAGACCAGCAGAAGTCCATGGACCACCAGTTGGAAAACAATGCTAGAGAGCATTAATGGACTGTTGGAGATAGACCCTTCTTAAAATTCCTGAGGCAGCAGGTTAGCTCAGTACCAACATATATGTCCTGTATTTGGGAGGTTACTATTTCAAGTATCTATTCTCACATTCCTTTTCGTGGTTTTCCTCAGTATCTCCGAGTGAAAGTCAGATATCCCTCTGAAAGTGGGTCAATGCTTCATTCATACTTTCACGCATCTTCACCAGCCATGGAAATCTCCACCTTTGCTTGATGCTAAATATACTCTATACTTGATACAATATCATTAAGCAACCCTGGAATGAATAAATTAATAAATGAAAGAATGAATTTAATCCTTAAAATTGGCCTTGTAATATACATTTTTGATTTACTGAAAGAGTTGTAAGAAATGGACTTAAAAATATTTATTTCCTTCTACCTTTCAGCTGTTCTACCTTCTACCTGTTAAGGTCTGAACATCAAGCTGGGTATGAATGCATGCCTTCCACCACTATCTGACACTATCCTAAACCAATATTTTCCTCAAGACACTGCAGCTGTCTCCATGAAGTCTGTGCCATCTGTCTCTCTGCAACCAATAACATAAATGATAATGCTGAATGGAAAGAGTAGTCAGACAGGAAACTCAGTAACCCAAACAGTTTGTCTAAACATCGCTGGTGTCATTACTGTCTGAGATAGGAACCACGAAAGAACAAAGATGAAGAGATACAGGATATTGTAACTGGCAGGGCAAATCATAAAGAATTACTCAGTTCATATTTGGAGGAGTTTATGTACAACAGAAAATACAACAACTTTTGTTTTATAATACAATTAATACTCATCTTCCATTAGAAGTATGAACATTTCATATAATCCTGCATTTCCAGTTCAAACTGCACTTCTCCATTGTAGAACACATTCCACGCCATACAAAATTCTAACAACCAAATCAACCTGAAATGACTGTACACATTCATGTAACATTTCAGTACAAATGTACACTAAATAAAGGTGAAAAAACATATTTTTTTGTTCCTGTGTTACCAATCTTTTTTACAAATGGCATCAGCTTAGATGTTTCACAATCTACACCAGCAATTCACATAATTTTAGAGTTAGATGCTTACTAAATGCCTTTCTTATCCTCATTCTTTATATATGCTTATATTTGTTTCTTTAGTAGCATGAACAGTTCCACCAGTACAGATACTGGTACACAATTTGTTTCAGCAAACTCATCTAAGTCGCACATGTGGTGGTGCACTGTATGTTTTGATGTTTAGGTTAAAACAAAGCATGAGAATAGCAACAAACATGCTTTTAGAGAGAAAGAGAGAGAAATGAATGCAATTACTGTACATAACTGCAAAAAACAATGTTGAAATTAAGTTTCTATTCTGTACATTATAATAAAGAAATAAATATCACATTAAGACAATGTGTAGCAGTGAGACATTACTCTTCCCAAAGAATGACACCCAGCAAAAACATTATTTTATTTTTTACTTACTTGTGTACAGCAGCTTCTGTCTTGTGAGTATATCAAGAACCAAACCTTTACGCAGTGCAACTGAACAAAACTGAGCACCACTATTACCATCACGAGTCTATATCATGTCTGACAATGTTGGCAAAATATTCTGCGATGATTTCTTCTTTACCCAACTCAGATCTGGGTAACTTGTGTGACACCATTCTCATGCACAGTGGTATAAATCCTGTCACAGTCATAAGCATGTGTTTCACTCTATTGAGGATGTCATTACTCTAAAGAATCCAGTATCTGTCAACACTCACTATACTGAGGATAACCTTGTGTGGGCATGGTGCAAAAGAACCAGAATGCAAGATCTAAACATGTGAGATGGAAGAAACTCAAGAATTCTGATACTAGCAAAAAGCTTTAGCAATGCCAAAGAAATGATTCTATGCAATCCACTCTAAGTCAGTTTATAATAACAATGAAAGAATAAACTGTCACTAACATATGTCTGTTTATTCACTCAATAGTTTATTTGCTGAAGATAAGTTTTAAGAGGAATAATTATTTTTACTCTGTATTCACAAAATAACAAAAGAAAGCTCAGAAATGAATGCATGTCAGTTCTGTCCATAAGAACTGCATGTGTGCCACTTACGGTGCACTCTGCACACTGTAATAAGATAAGAAATGCATCACAGCAGAGTAATGACAATACAAAATAGAACCATTGGAATATTTTCTTGTTCACAATTTTGAGACAAAACAATTCTTCAGACACTGCAGTAGCATGGACAGGGTAGAAATTTGTCAAATATATCACTTTCACATTTAAAATGTATCACATCCTTAAAACTTTATACCAACTTCTCTTAAGAACTGCTGGTCTAGATTGTAGTCCATTTAAAGTTCTGTAGATTTGAGCACAAGAAAATTTGGTGTATATATTTCATATTTTATTTTGAATGACCCCTTTTTCCTAATTATACATATATTAAAGGTTGGTCTTACCAAATAAAAATAAAACCAACACCTCCTGAACATAAACATCAAGCATCCACGCAATGTGTCTGCTCAGTAGTACATGTTCTTTATAGCCATAAATGAAAGAGGTGAGAATAAAGCAATACACCAGAACGATGTCATACACAGACTGTCACAACACTGACAGATGTGGTGCACTATGTGTAGCTCATGTATGTTGACTAGTGTGGAAGACAAAGTAGTAAAACAGTTTTGATTACCTGTTGCATAAAAATAATATAGTATAAAACATAACTGTGATAAACTCCCAGGTGATATGCTGGACTAGTGGAAGTCCAGTTTCTTAAAATATGCAACCTACAGTTCCTTTGGTTCAGTGACATCACTCCCTAGCGTCACACAGAGAGAGAAAGAGAGAGACAGACACTTTATTTGGTGTGTCTGTTTTACCCACATGTATCAGTATTCAGCGACTCTTAGAGACTTCAATCCTCAGTGTGATGTGAAATCAAAATTTGAGTGCCTTGGCAAATAGAGCTGCCGTCGCTTGGGTCTTATCACCTCGAAACCGTCTCAATTCTGCAATTACCTGTTGGTTTGGAATACAATTAATGGATACACATGTATTATGTTATTTAGGCCTCCCTGTTCTCACTTCCCAACACAGATATATCATTAAATGAAATGGGAATCACAATTTAACAGCCTCTGCAACATTTGTAGATACAAAATGTTCATTTCTTGAAACTTCATAAGCAGAGTTTTGCCTGTACTAGATACAGAAACACAAGAATCTGTCATAAAGATCTGTTACAATGTCTAAAATCTATTTACTTACTTACTTACTCATGGAGCTGAGCACTTCTGGAGGAGCCACCAATTCTGCAGCTACTCAAGAATTTCCGAGCACTTTATGGAACCCGAAGGTTCATTACCGTGTTCACAAGAGCCCTCCATTGGCCCCTATCTTGAGCCAGATCTATCCAATCCATACCATCCCATCCTCTCTCTCTAAGATCCATTCCAATATTGTCCACCCACCTACACCTTGGTCTTCCCTGTGGTCTCTTTCCTTCTGGCTTTCCCACTAATATCCTATACGTATTCGTCTCCCCCATTCATGCTACATGACCTGCCCATCTCATGCTCCTTGATTTCTTTGTGTTCATTTTCGTAACATAATGATTTTTTACAGTGAGATGTTTTATTATTTCAGTATCACAGGCTGTAATCAAAGGCACAAAATGATCAATGAAACTGAGATATCAGCCCAATGCTCCAAAGCAGGAGCAAAGAGGAAGAAAAGAAAATCCACAGCGAGATCCGAGGTTCTCACCACACTAGATATAGACACTGCTGTCTTCGGGGATGAGTGATGCTGTGCAGTTCAGTAGAAAGATACCTAGGTATCTAGGCATCGCATCCCAGAAAACAATTATCTTCAAGATATTAATAACAATGCAGAAAACACTGTAATATTTGGAAGTACATGGGCTAAGATATAGGCAATTTGGCTCAAACACACAAAACTCATTTCAGGAGTGTAACTCCACTACAGGGATCCCTCTAACATATATACACTGTTAGTTAACAAAACAGAATCACTCCTTCTAGTTATGTACTTTTACCTGCTCACGTGTGAAACCCAGACTGACCAATTCCCGTACTTCATTTTCACCAAAGTTGTCTGTTGGCAGTATGAGAATGGATGGGTCACGAGGCATTGAACTCAGGCTACTGCTGCTGCTGCTGGTAGCAACAGCCGCTGTTATAAGAAATGAAAAGCAAGGCTAACATGAAGAAAGACCTCAATGATTACAAAATGACAAGACTAACAACATCCACCTCAAATCTTCTAAAACAAACTACACTGCTTCACTTGTCATAAACACATAAAACATAAACAAGGTTACACACGTTGCACAAGTTAACACATCATAAGCAACTAACCCATCAACCAGTCACAATTACAAGGCATTACCAACCCGATTCTCGACTGTTCTGAAGAGCACGAGCCAAATCCCTCTCTTCTGCTTCACGAACCGACTGTCCGATGACATCATCCTCGCTCTGACTTGACAGACGGGCACATTCAGGAAGCTCCCTCTCTGACAGAAATGGGGTCTCCGTGTCAGTTGTCCCAATTCGCAGAACATTCTTTTTAAGATCTATTGAGCACTGTGGAAATTGTGCAATTAGCATAACAGAATCTTCAAAAACTGTGGGTCTGCCTTTCTCATCTGTTTACAGTTTTTTGATGGACATATTACAGATTAATTGAACTGCCTTGAGGCAAAGTAAAATAGCAACTTTATTTAATGGCAGTAATATATCTTCAGCTTCCCAGCAATAGGAATTTTCTGAATAGCTGAGAAACAACTGCTTGGGTAGGGCCATCGAGTTGTTTTTCACTGAGGGGTTAACTGGTTCTGTGTATGGCATGTATATCTAATTAATCATTTCTCTGCATATGCATACCAGAAACAATATCAAACATTCCCACAAGATAAAGACATAGCACCACATGATTTACTTATGGTAACTGTAGTCTTCCAGAGATCTGATGCATTAATTACAGGAGGTCATTACATCAGTACCTTCTGATTCTATTTATAGCATTATGTGTTCCTCTTTCAAACAGTTAATTCATTCAAATTTTCGAAAGTGTTGCCTATGAAACCATGACATCAGATGTACCTGATGCCTCTTCAGCATGTCAAGGCCGAGCAGCATGTCCATTGGTTGCTCCTCCAAAACTGAGAATGACGTTGTCAAATAGTCCTTCTCAATCTGTATCTGCACCATGTGGATGCGTCCAATGATTTTTTGAACACCTACACCCTTGGCAATTCCAGCCCAGCGTGTGTCCACTAGGCGCATGATGTGACAACGTTCAGCACAAGCTGCTGACATTATCGTCGTCTGGGCACCTACATCAAAACCAAACAGCCAAAACAGAAGCAGTAAACCCAGATTAACTTCAAATTGTGTGACAAGCAGAACTTCAACTCATCATATATGACCACAATAAAATAAACAACAATAATACCTGAGTCAATAAACGCTTTAACAGGAAAACCATTAACATGACAGTTAATATACAGCATGACAACCGTTCCAAATGTCTCTGGATTATATTCCATAGCTGCTTCCATATTTGCTTCAATGTTTTTCTGACGGATCTCTTCCGCAATTAGTCGTTGAGCTTCTGTGTCAAAGGGATGAGCATTCATCATTCTAATTCTTTGTCTTTGTCTTTCTGCACGTGATTCAACCTGCTCCCTGAGTACTGTTGCAAATTCATCTGCAATAAATGGCCCTCAATCAGTCATCTGATAATTGTTTTATATAATGAATCTAATATTTCCCATTTCCTTATACAGCAAATACATGTTCTGTATAAGTAGCTTATTCCTGTGAAATATAAATATCGCTTCACACCCGGGTCCAATGGCAGGCATTTGTAAATGCAGCCACCATCCATTACATTTTATTTTTATTGGCTTAATTGGCACTTCCCATAACTGAGGTTATATAGCACCATGTGACAGAATGCTTCCCTAAACTATTAATTTAGCATAGCATTTAATAATGCCTTTGTATGTTTGTGAAAAAAATGATATGATCACTATTATCATTAATCTCTAACATCAATTCACATTTATCAGATTAGTATTAAACACCAAATTTTAAGACTTCTACCAAGGTTGCCAGACAGCAAAGCATCAGCCAAGCGAGGATTGTTCTGTTTCAAGAGGGCAAGCTGATTTGGATTGGCCAAGAACATATCTCTGATTAACTTCGGATCTTCTTCTTGTGCTCTTGCACCTGGTACTGTATGGCTTGGCAATGAGCCTGAAGACCCAGGAACCTGAATGCCACTGAAGTCAAGCATTGGAAGACCTGCAACAATTTATACATAATTAACATGACTGATACGATTAGGATCATAATTAATATATCTTATCCTGTTATTTTGAGAATTTACGGTTCTTACCTTGATTAGCAGCTGCAAAACTGATGTTGGAACCTGAACTCAGCATATGCTGTAAAATCACTACATCACCGTCCCGAATGCCATGATCTTTCAGTGACTTCTTGTCATCTAACAGTGGCATGCCGTTGTGTGCAATAACAATTTCTGGAGCTGGATATCCTGATTCCACTTCACAAAATGCCTTGAAATTTTCTAATTCTAGATCTTCACTAACATCTAACACAAATATATCATCGGATAAAGTAGTAACCGTAATTTTCATCTTGTAAATGTATTCTAAATATCCCACAATTTAAAAGGTAATAAAATAACAAAACTCCTATTATTTATTTGCGAATACAATTACGAAACCGGACAACAGAAGAATTTCCTGGTCGGCTGAAAACAGCAGAATCACCGCGCCATATTATTCATCATACACAAGACATAGACGTGCATCTCAATGTTATTGCCTGGCCGCGCAGCCGCCATTACGTCACGCATATTATGCTGCCATCTATTATCCTCATTGAGGATATTGCTGCTAAATGGCTGAAGCCACTAACGAGAGCTCAATTGGTAAGATTAAACACCGTAGTGCAACAGAATTACTGTTATTTTTTGGACTTTTTCCATCGCCCGGAATTTTAGGTAACAGAGGACAAGACGTTTCGGAAACTGGATCTGTTTACTTTTTCAGGTGAGAAAGGAACACACCTCTTTTTTGCACCTTAGAAAGAGTTAATCTCAACCAGTGATTGATTTAATAATGCTCCCCTGTTTTGGGTTACTTTCAGTTAAGAAATGAAATTATTGTAGTTATTATTAGGACAGTAATAAAATAACACATAATAAAACCATTATTTCACGAATATTGCACTGGATCCATGGAAAAACTGAAGAATTTTAATTCCTTTTACCCAAGGGTTGAATAACACCCAGAAGCAGACTATATCCTTCTGCGCTCCATGCGCTGCAAGAAGTAACAAAAAAGTTATGACACAATGCTTACGTAATCTACGTAATATTTAAGTATCGTAGATGAAATTTCATCATAGCTACAATAATTTTTAGGCGTCAATGAATTTTATACGTTTCTAATTCCTTTCGGTGAAGTAAGCATAGCATTTACATATACAAATACACGTTCAACATGGAGATGAGTAAACGTTGACTCCAGTTTCACGATATCAAATTAAAATCTACATATACCATCCAGCAGAAAATAAGTAAGTATAAAGTAAAGCTATCCCTGTACCAGGCCGTGAAGTTCCATAGGGTTGTGAGACGTTGAGGGTCCCACATTATCTAGACAATCGGCTCAAAGATGGCGGTAAGGTTGTCAGCCTTACGCGCCGGCTGCGCTTTACTCACCAGGAAAATTATTTAATTAATTCCTGGTACTCATTTCTGTTAAAGGCTGGGTCGACCCCAGGGCCATGGTGCGGCTGGAAGGGCTAGGTCAATTGAAAAAGATCCAATGACCTCATCGGGACTTGAACCCGCGACCTTCCGGCTTGTAGCATAGACCCTCAACCAACTGTAAATTGTTTGTAGCTGTTTCCATCATAGATAAATCCCAAACGAACAGAAATCCAAATTTCACAAACCTGTTTTGATATGGGCTCCGTAATTGGTCAAGACAAATATCGTTAGCGTACAGTGATTTGTATGACGACGCTTGCGCATTTTTTCTAATTTCCCTCTTCCAGTTGCCCCCCGCCTTTTTGTTATTTGCAGTTAGTTCCATCTGCCAAGAAGCTGTTGAACACATATACACGTAGTTCGAACACTTTGAGAAAGGTAGCAGCACATCTCATTGCGTCCTGCCGCAAATTCACGGGCTTCACAGCATGATACACACCATGCCGACTTCTCTATACACTGTTACGGAGCCGTTGCAAACTGCAATATTCTCAGAAGAATCTGAAGATACAACAAATAAACCGAAGATGTCTATGACAGTGAACTAAAATATGGCCATGAGTTCTAACCGGAATCAAATCAAAGAATGTCTCTGCTAGCTGGAAGGCCAGCAGGAAACTACTGCCCTGCAGCGCATGGATTATTTTTGCGCCCTGAAGAGAGGGGCAGCAGGCTCTCCGAAACCTATGCACCAGATTACACGGCATTATATCCTAGAAGACGGCCGCGCCATAGCTCAAGCGGTTAGTCGCTGGCTTCCCATCACGGCGGCCCGGGTTCGATCCCGGGTATGGTCAAGTGGGATTTGTGGTGGACAAAGTGGCGCTGGGGCAGGTTTCCTCCGAGTACTTCGGTTTCCCCTGCCAATCTCCATTCCACCAATTGCTCCACAATCACCCTCACCTATCATCTGGGGCTGGTACAATAGGCCAGAAGTGGCCGCAGTACAAGGGACTTAGTCCCACCTCACTAGCAATAAAAAAAATCCTAGAAGACACTATAGTTCATTGGCTGGTTATTTTTGCCGGATTTAAAGAAATGTGCAGAGAGACGTGCGTATATAAACCTCTGGAAAAGCTATCCAATCGTTCCAGACTATGTAAGCTCATATCCCGAAGATAAAAGCCAAAAATGAATAATATTTAAATTATTACTCGAATCAGTTCACACATTCTGTTGATAGAGGCACAGTTTAGAGCAGCGATGACCAACTGGCGGCCCGCGACTTGATTTACTCCGGCCCCCCGCCAAGTATCAGGTTATTTTAAAAAATCTTAACTTCACAGCTGTATTGGCACAGAATTCAGTTTTTAATANAAAAAATAAAAATAAAAAACTTGTGCATTACGGTTGTACCATGTATGAATGAAAGTGTGACCTCCATTATCATTCACAACTAAAAACAACCATCAAATTGATCTGGACATCAGTTATGCCAACAAATTAATCTGTAAAGTACTTGATACAAAATTCCTTGGAATACATGTAGACAGTACACTGTCTTGGAAAATACATATTGAACAAATTATACCTAAATTAAATGCAGCTTGCTATGCGATGAGATCAATTAAGCCTTTTATGTCACAGGAAACATTGAAGATGGTTTACCATGCCTACTTTCATTCTATTATGAACTATGGATTAATATTTTGGGGGAACTCTTCACATAGTGTAATAATTTTTAAAATACAAAAGAATATAATTAGAATCATTACAGGATGTAGAAGTAGAGATTCATGTAGAGAATTATTTAAGAAATTAAAAATTCTACCTCTTCAATCGCAATACATATTATCGCTTCTCTTATTTGTTGTTTACAACAAAGATAAATTCAAATTAAATTCTGATGTCTATAACATGAATACTAGACAAAAATATAACTTCCACCTACCCTCATCAACTTTATCAGTATATCAAAAAGGAGTCTACTTTACTGGCATAAAAGTGTTCAACAATCTGCCACAAAGTATTAAAAACTTGGGCAATGATACTAAAAAGTTTAAATCAGAGTTAAAGAATTATCTACATGCTCATTCCTTCTACTCTTTAGATGAATACTTCAATGTAAATAGAGAATGATGTAAAATTAAGTTAGATTAATTTTTAAGCTAAAATTGCCTGTACTTATGTATGTAACCTTTTGACTTGTTCTGTATCCAAAGGTACTAACCTACTTAGGATTTATAGAATGTAAATAAATTCAGTTCAATTCAAATCCAACCAGTGATTGCTTTATAGCAAGATCTGAATGTGTACTCACAGCATTAAAAAATTCGGAGTGAGAAAATGAACTTTGTTATCCAATTGATCGCTTATGAAACTTGTTACTCAATTTCATGTCAGATGTTGGGTGTTTCCTGCTTGGATACTTTAAATACTTCTTGAAACCCACGAAATAAAAAAAACTATATATATGTAGCATTATGACGATTCACTTTTTACGCATTTGGGTTTTATGAAAACTGAAAACAATTGGGTTCATTAATTGCAGCTTAAGTACAATAAGGGCAGGAACTAGTGGGGACCGTGGCTAAAGTCTTGTGGGTGGGGCGCGAACAAATGAGCTGCAGCTGCGTGCATTTTGTTGTTGTTGCGTTTACAAATTCACCATTACCCCATACCCCGGTTTCTCTTGTGCATTTCCTGCCCTTTCACCGCATGATCGTCGCCACTTGTCTCATACATCACGCCCCTAGTACCATGTAGGGGATGAGTAACCCTCAGAATTTCCGCGATTGTGGAACATACTGTAGTCTGACGACATTATAAGTATCATGTCTGAGACATGCGTCCTCAATTCGAAAGACGTTGGATTCTTTGTTGTCCATGTTATTTCTCTATTCCAGCAACATTCATGGTCATATCATGGGTTCGCGTACTTCCAGTCGATTCATAACATCAAAATACCTGCTACTAAAAAGAAAATACAGTATTCAAGAAGCCCGTTCAATTAGGAATTTTTCGTGAAAATAACGGCCCTTGAAAACAAAGAGAGTACAGTTGGCATACCTATCTACCGGCAGAATTAGAACTACCCGCAACTTGGAGCTTGTTAACTGCTTCATGATGGCTTCTTCCCCCCCCCCCTTGGCACTACAGCCCCAGTGGGCCTAGGCCTACCTCCATGAACTCCGTTCACTTCGGTTTTTCTAGATCTTACACATTCGGTAGGACTCCTTGGTCGGGTGACCAGCTCGTCGCAAGGCCTCTACCTGTAGACAAATACAGAAAAACGCACACAAACATCCATGGCCCGAGTGGGATTCAAACCCACGATCCCGGCTTCCGAGCGAGCGAAGACAGTGCATGCCTTAGACCGCTCGGCTACCGTTACCGTCCATGATGGCTTCTAGCTTGGATTATTTTTATACCCTAAAGATGGAGGCTATATTTTCCTCCGAAACATGGATTGACTTGCAATGGATTACGTGGCATTAGATCCCAGAATACAGAATTCTTCATGAGCACTGCTATGAGAAAATCCACAAGTAATCAGCTAATAAGTTAACCAGTTAACTAGCTTATTCTCTGGTACATTCTCAGTCTTCAGAAGCTGACACTCGCTCATCTTGTAGAGAAATTACCTGTCTCTCATGGAAACAGACCATTTATTACTATATTTAAAAAACAGACACCACTGGACCATTTCCCGAGCAAGTTTAATCCAATTCACACTCTTACGCCTAAAGCTTAAAAGGTGCAAAAGGGTGAAATTGTCCCTTTGCTTAATTAATTAGGCACCATGCCGCAAACATGTATGGGGGAGTGGAGGCATAGCTTCTCTATTCTTTACCTTAACATTAGATGTAAGTGAGTGGTTAGATTTAATCCCCAGTCGCTTTAACCTCGGCGAAAGAGCCCCCGGTGCATATCGGATGGGAGACTGGGTGGGCCCCATAGCGGGTCTGGACATCGTGGTGCAAAGAAAGATATCTTGCCTCTGCCCAGAATCTAACCCCGGCCTTCCATCTTGTAGCTCGTCACTATAGGGACTGCGCTGCGCCTAGACGTCATTTTAAATGTATAACTTACAT